TCTATCTATCTATCATCTATCTATCTCTCCACCATTAATCCATCTTATTTTAGGTACATTTTAAAGGTACATTTTAGGACATCTCAGATGTCCATAAACTTCCCCTTTAATACTTCAGAATGAATGTCATTAACTGAAGTTTTTATAAATAATAATATAATTACTATTATTGTAATATTATTACAATAATACAATATTACAATAATAGTAATCTCTCTGATATATGATTATTTGTATATTTTAAATATGATTATTATATTAAAACAATTATTGTATATAATACTTGTGTAATTATAGAATATGCATGTGCAATATGTTATCCTCTCTGAAATACATGTTTCTGAATATGTACATATACATATGATTACTTGCATGCCTACTTTACCATTGGACTATGATCCCCTTGAGGGCATGTGCAATGATCTACATATATCTGCATTCCCAGTGAGTAGCCTAGGACCATTTAGCAGGTGGTAAATAAATGCTAATTGAATGAATGAGATTATCTTCTCACAGTAGCACTAATCTAGTCAGTTTAGGTAATAGGATCATTCCCACTGGATCATTCAGATCCAAAATTAGGCTACTTACACAAGTCAGGCAGGGAACAGTGACAGGATGTCAGGACACAGACTGAGTTTATAGCCAATGCAAGCTTTTTCTGAAATGCTTTTCTTACATTTAACTATATCTTAAAAAAGTGAGAAAATCAAAATTTACTGCATGAGCAAAAGGCATAATGCTTAATTGCTTTCTTCACTAGGGCACGTCTGTTACTATAATCACATTTATTCTCTATCATGGTTAACTAAAGCCTAATATTTTTATTAGTAATTGAGTAAGCCAAGAAAAATCACAGTTATAGTCTCTTAATACAGACTTACTTTCAGAGTATGTTGTACCTTTGAGCTTAGTTAAGTAAAAGTGAAGTGTCACATCAAATCTAACTGGACACAACTCAAGTTGGCTTTTAGGCATCTGTGTTGATTTTCCACGGTTGCCTATAGTATAAGTTTTACTGATGTTATCATGTCAATAAGAAAATTAGGACTGCGTAATATACCATTCTTCCAACAATGTATGAGATAATTTATACACCTTGCTAAGAGAATCAGTCTGCATACTTACTGAACAGATGCAAGGAAGAGAAATGTGTGAGAAGCTCTGATGGGATGACACCATCCACGATATTAAACAAGAAGCATGTGTTGTGAATATGAACCTTATATAATAGAATAACACCTTTTAAAACACAAATGTGATCATAAAACCATCTGCTTCCTAATCATCTTGCAAAGTACATCTGGCATTGCTATATTGGTTCTCTAAATTGTTCCTAGATGAATTTTAAAAACATAAAATAAATACAGATAGTCTATGGGCTGAAAGACTAAATGTCCAGATGGCCTCTTTTAGTACCTTTGCTAATTTCATCATTGTATTTCTTAATTAAGCTCTCTGAGTAAGCATGTAACTGTTAGCGTTAAAAACACATATCGATTAAATGAGTGTTTGAAGGACTCAGGTAAGCGGTGGTCTTAAATTTAATTTTGTAAGTTGAATATAATTATATTTCTAGTTCACTCCTTTATATTAAATTTAAAGAAAATACAACATCCCTAGAGTCCTTACTTCAATCCTGATATCATATAATATGATATTTTGTTTGAAAAAACTGGAAAGTTTAAATTGGCAAATTAATGTACAGTAGTCAGTGGATTCTAAATTTAAACATATTAAGAAAGGCACAAAAAACTTAGTCTATACTCAGAAGACAGTCTTAATTTTTACTATCACAGACATCAGATAATTTGTTATATTTTTAATAAGACTAATATTTGAGTTGGAAATTATTTTCTGATTCAGCACAATTTTTCTCTAAAGTGAGGAAAAGTTCATCTTTGGACTAGTTGGAGAAAACCTACAAAGAATTTATGCATAACAGAATATTATTTTAATTATTATGTGGACTACGTTTTTCACTATAAACCTTCTGTGAGAGTTTGAGCTGTTTTCTTAGTTGGGATTTACATTTGCATGTATGTCTTCTCTCTTGTTGGCCTTGTTATAGAAATAATCCTTTCACTTTTGCTGTACTGGAGAGAGAGGAAAAAGTGCTTCCATTGGAACGTTTTAACAACACTTAAAATCAACATTTAAAAAATATTGATTGCGTTATTGAAAATATGAGCAGAAGGCCACTGCTCTAGTAGGTGTATAACACTCTAGTATTCTATATTCTAATAATTTTTAGAGAAATTTTGTGAACTATATAAATATGTAAAATGTTTTTACCTTTTATTTCAGTAATTTTATTTCTAAAACTATAGGTATACTTTGCAAATATATACAGACATATATATATATAGTCATATATGTTCCAAGTTATTTATTGTACTCTAATCTTGTTTGCAAATTGTGAAAAATGGACAATAAAATAATTATTGCACCATAAAGAAAAGTTGAAAAAAGGTCCCATTTATGCTTATCTTTTTGTTGAAAGGAACCTGAAACTATCAAATGGTTATAACTGCCTAAAACCAAACCAAACAAAGAAAAACAAACACAGAAAATCTCAAAACACTGTTAACAATGGGTCTACATGCTTTCAAAAATTTGACATTTTTTAATTTTTGGCTTGCTTGTGTATTTTACAACCAACATTCTTGTAAATTGACAAATAATAAAATGAATCATTTCAGTGGTTGCATGGATACTTGAAATGATTTTAATTTATTCATCTCCCTTACTCCTACATGCAACAATTGTTAACCTTTGAATATCCTACTACTTTTGAAATCTTCCCTACATTTCACTCTTTGCAAATCCAATCCTTCTCATAATATAGCTGTTACTTAATCTTTCAGTGCCAAAATAACATTTTACATAATTGCATTTTGATTTTTCTGGTATTTATTATTACCCTGATATTCATTGTACATATTTCTGAAAATTTATTTTTGTTCCAGAATAATTTATTTCCTGTATAGAATCAATGTTCATAGTTTTGGTGGTCTTATTTTTAGTTATTTCTGCAATGTAGTTATTTCAATCACATCCTTAGGCATTTTCCCCCCTTATCATAGAAGTCCCTGCTAAGAAAACTGTAGAATTTATTTGTCATGCAAACTGGAATGTACAAGTACCATAATTATGTGAATATAGAACTACAAATGCTAGCAGGCCATTCTAGCAAGAGTTCAGTAGGTAGAAATAATATTATTTACATAAAGTCTAAATAAGTACCTTCTAGCTGCAGAGCAATAGAAAGGTTTAGTAGAAAAAACAGAGTCATAGTATATGAACAATGTGCTATTCATGTTTAAGAAAATTTCCCTGCACTGGTTTTGCTCTCTAAGGCTAAAGGTTCATGTTGAGACTCCCACTTAATAGTTAAAAGTTTGTGCTTTTATTATGTGCTTGCCCCCCAATATTAGAACCTTGGTTTACTTTAAAAAAAAAAAAACTCAAATGCCCATCAGTGATAGACTGGATAAAGAAAATGTGGTACATTCCATAGTATACCATGGAATACTATGAAGCCATAAAAAGGAGTGAGAATATGCTCTTTGCCAGGATATGGATGAAGTTGGAAGCCATCATCCTCAGCAAACTAACACAGGAAGAGAAAAGCAAACACTGCATGCTTGCTTAAGTGGAATTTGAACAATGAGAACACATGGACACAGGGAGGAGAACAACAAACACCAGGGCCTGTTGGGGGGTGGGGGGACGAGGGGAGGGAACTTAAAGTACAGATCAATAGGTGCAGCAAACCACCATGACACACGTATACCTATGTAACAAGCCTCCACATTCTACACGTGTATTCCACAACTTAAAGTAAAATAAAAAAAAATTCAACTTTTATTTTAGATTAAGGGTATATGTGCAGGTTTGTTACATGGGAATGTTTTGTGATGCTGAAATTTGGAATACAGATGATCCCGGTACACTGGTAGTGAGCATAGTACTCAATTAGCTAATAAGTAGTTTTCCAGCCCATTTCCCCTTTTTATCTCTCCCCTGTAGTCCCAGTTTCTATCATCCCCATCTTTATGTCCATGTGTACTCAATACTTAGCTCCCACTTATCAGTGAGAGCATGTGGTATTTGGTTTTCTATTCCTGTATTAATTTGCTTAGGATAATGGCTTCCAGCTGCATCTTGGTTTACTTTTGATACAGCCTATTTGATTTCTACGCAGCACAAGTTGGATCCTTATGCATGCCAGTATTCTTGACCTCACACCCAAATTCACATTCCAGTTTCAAATAGTTCATTCAAAGGAATTTACTTTTTCATTGTGTTCAAGCCACTTACTCTTTTAGAAACTCTGACAGAAGATATTGTTACTACTCTCAAAGAACTAAAAAATTCAAATTCTTTAATAGTGATATTAGGAGGCTTAGTTAAGAAGGTGAAAGGTGAGTTGGGTAAGAAGGATAGATAAGACTTTTGACAATTGGAAGACATCTAAAATACAGAGCACAATTAAGGGCAAAAAAGTGACACTTCAAAAGAAAAGAAGCAGAAAAAGAAATTAAGGTTAATTGAGTACTTTTTTTAAAACTGAACATTATACTAGGAACTATTCAAATATGTTTTGTTTATCCACCACAGCATTAAGTTAGCTCAGCCTATATGGTTCCCAAGTGCATATTCTTTTCTCATAATTCTGAATTCAAGTTTCTGGTTGGGACTTGGAGGTTGTAGAGTAAGCCTTTGTAAAGGTCCTAAGAGCAAAGAAGTGGGAGAAAAAATGAACATCTTTGTTACAATGAATTTCTGACAATTTTATCATCAGCTAAAGAACTTAAATTTTAGTCTAGAGACTCTGTAGTCACATCAGTAACATCATCTATTGTTGCCAAAGTAATAAGCAACTGGGATCCATAAGAAAAGGTAATAGAGCAGAGGAAGGGAGAATAAAAGGATCTCATTAAGGTATTAAAATCCCTAGTAGTAATATTTCCTTGACATTTCATGTGTATCCTTAGGAACTAATCAAATATGTCCTGTGAAGCTGTGTGGATCAAGGACATCTCTCCACTTTTTCAGAAAATAAAGGACAGTGATGAATTACATGGAAGATAATTTGACAGTCTTTTTCTGCTAAAGGTTAGTTGTGAAATATTAACTATATGCTTTATTTATTCATTATGTATATCTTTTTTTTTTTTTTTACTTTCAAAAACAAGAGACTTTAACTTGATATAGACTCCAGGGGTAGAGAGTGAAAAAGAATAAATTATTTCAGAATCAGCAAGTTGTATAGTTACACCACAGTCATAACAACCTCAAATTGTTAATATTTCTATCTCCCAGGAAGGACAAAAAGGGGGAAAAGTTAAGGATTAAGAACAATGTTAATAGTAATAAAAAATAATAATGTATTCAAGTATTCACAATAATAAAACAGCAAAATTTGTTTTCTAAGTGCTGTATGTCTCCAAGCACTTGATATGCTTTATTTTACCCTCAAAATGACCCTTTAAGGGTGGTACCATTATTAAGAAAAAAAGTTTCCTGATAGTTTCAACAACCGAAGCACAGTGAGCAAATTAATTCACCAGAGCATGTCACACAGTGAGGGAATGTTGAAGCCACTATTTGAACAGGGATAATCTGGGTCAAGCCATATCCTTTTTTTTTTTTTTTTTTTTTGAGACGGAGTCTTGCTCTGTCACCCAGGCTGGAGTGCAGTGGCTGGATCTCAGCTCACTGCAAGCTCCGCCTCCCGGGTTTACGCCATTCTCCTGCCTCAGCCTCCCGAGTAGCTGGGACTACAGGCGCCCGCCATCTCGCCCGGCTAGTTTTTTTGTATTTTTTTAGTAGAGACGGGGTTTCACCGTGTTAGCCGGGATCGTCTCTTGATCTCCTGGCCTCGTGATCCGCCCGTCTCGGCCTCCCAAAGTGCTGGGATTACAGGCTTGAGCCACCGCGCCCGGCCAAGCCATATCCTTAACCACCAAATTCCATTATATCAAAATAATTCCAAGACAAATACATATGGAATGTAAAAGATTGCTTAATTCTGGTTTTCTATGGTACCTAGAGAATAGAAGATGATGATAATGATGGGATATTCATTATACTACACTTAGAACAACTGACATCTGTAATACATTGGTGTGTTACTTTGGATCCATGCTTCTACCTGTATCTTAAAAAAAATCTAAAAAAATGACAATTTAGTTTATCAGAGTTGCTGCTTATATTGTGTGATATGTTCAGTGACAATTTTTAGTGTCTTTTATTTAAGTGCTTGATGCTTCCTTGATTTGGACAAAAAGGAAGAATATGTATTTATATCCTCAAATAGAAGTCGGCTTTCAAAATCTGTTGTATTGAGAGAGATATCAAGCCAGATAAATAATGTCAAGATTCATCCACAGTTTTTCATTGTATAACATGAATAGTGTTCAGGGTGAAGTATTTAGGCACATAATTCTTGACTGTTTTCTTCTTTTCCCTCTCACTAGTCAGCGCTCCTTTCTCATAAATTCGATGACATTACTTTCTTCAAATGTTTTGATCTGTTTCCACCTGAGTTGTTTTACTTTCCATGTATTGAATAAAAGTTATCTAGGGAAAGAAATCAGAGTTAAAGCTATCAGTTGGTTTCCAGAATTCTCTTGCAAGTGAGTATGAGTTTTCTATTTACTACTTCAGCAAATATCTATTTGCTATAGTTTTACTTTTCTCCTCATAAAATTAATCACAAAATTTAATGATCCACCTACCTGTTGCAGAACAATAAGAAAATATATTTTATTGGGCATGGTGGCTCATGACTGTAATTCTAACACTTTGGGAAGTGGTGAAAGATAATTGCTTGGGTCCAGGAAATTGAGACCAGCCTGGGAAATATAGTGAGACCTGGTAGCTACAAAAAATTTTAAAAATTGGCTGGGCATGGTGGTGCACATTTGTAGTCCCAGCTACTCAGGAGGCTGAGGAAGAAGGCTTGAGAAGAAGAAGGCTTGAGTCCAGGAATTTGAGGATGCAATAAGCTGTGATTCCGTCATTGCACTCCAGGCCTGGCATCAGAAACAAAACAAAGAAAGAAAGAAAATATTTTAAATCCACTTATTACATAGAGAGCTTAAAACTAAACACCTACTGTATTCTTATTTGATTTTTTTGATCATGGTGAAAGTATTTTTAATCACATTCATAATTTTATACTTTTAGTTCTATTTATCACTGCTTATAGAATTGTTTCTATTAAGTCATTTGCTTGTCAAACTAATCAATTGTGATCAGTTAAGGCTAATTAATGAGTCAATATATTATGTCATACTGTAAATAGCTTTTTTATTGTCAAGAAGAAAAACTGAGGTTAAGAAGACAATTTCGTGCTTTGTGAGTGAAAGAGATAGAGATCGAACAAGTACCAGTATCTCTGGAATAGTTCAATGATAGGAAAAATACAATAGTTTCTTGACCGTTATTCTAAGGCTAGGGAAAAAGTGAGGGATGTTATCACAATAAAAGTATATGAATACATAGTAACTTCCACATGCCAGATACTGTGCCAACACAGGAAAAGAGAATACTGCGCTAAATCATGCCTTTGTGAATATCAGCTGGAAATTTTAAAACTCTTCTAAGAGCGAGTTCAATACTTTTTTTTAAGAAATGGAAAAGCCATACTCTGCAGTATCTATTTTCCCAAATTTGTAATTCTACTTAGATGAATGTAGTCAAGCATTCATCTAAATATATATCTTATAATTTATGCTTATAATACAACAAATTTTGTTAATATTTAACATACTAAATATATACATTTATGTTTATATTTATATGAACATATACATTTTGACAATCTTTCCTAGTTTATAAAACAGTAAAAGTTTCAGTCAAGTTTGTCTCCTATTATTTGATATTCCTAAAAAGTTGGTATATAATCGACTCACATTTCATAATGAAGAACAGTAAGTTGGGAATGTCAGTAAAATTTGTTTTTGCAAATGTTGGCTCATTTTTTTTTTGGTCAAGCACTGTTTAAACTTCTAAACCCCCTCGAATTTCTATCTATCCCTTACTTGGCTTCATATTTTAGGTTTGCATGTTTTCTCATAGTTCAATTAAATAATAGGCTCAGTGAAAGACAAGCAGGAAGTGTTTTTTGAGGATAGCAGAATTTGGTAGCAAAACCAGATATGGTTGTACAAAATTATAGGCCAATTTCATTTATGAACATAGATGCAATAGTCTTCAATAATATATTAGCTAATTGAATCAAATAGTGTATTTAAAAATTAGCGTCTGGTTTTCAAGTAAAACTTATTTGAATAATTTTAAAAAGTAAAGAATATAAATAATTTCAGATAAAACAAGAGTCTAATTACTCTGGGAGATCCATTAATTTAAAAATGCTAGATTAAACATAAAAATAAGTTTTAAAAATACATCACTGGCCTGATACAAAAGAAAGTAATCTAAAGATGCTAAAAATAAGGGAAAAAATTATGAGCAAAGATGTTGAAAAATATATAGGTACACCTAAATTAGCAATGACCTTATGAAATCATAAAATAATATCTGACTTACGGGGTTTAAGTAAAAGATGAAACTAAAATACTGGAAAAAATAACATAAATTGGCAAAGAATGAACAGAGTTAAATCATTAAAGATCCATCTGTTGCTTGAAGGAAAGGTAAAGATCACTAAATTTATATATTAAGTGTGCCTGTTAAGATATCTAAGGCGAACACAAAAAAAGTTTAGAGAGTATATTTTATTAATTTGTAGGAGTGGAATAAAAGAAAGGATATAACCTCTTGATCAATCTATAAGTAGTCAGAAACATAGAAAAATAAATTGAAATAGGAAGACAAACAGTACAATATGAATGGCAACACTACACTAAAATATGTTGTTAATTACAATAAATGTGAAAGGATGAAAGTAACATACAAGGTTTGTCAAGTAGGATTAAGAATACAATTTTATATTTTTTTCTAAGAGGGATCTACATTTTTCTCTCTATACACACACAGACACAGATAATATATACATGTATATATATATACGACAAAAATCATTAGAAAATAGTAAAAAGTTATATAGTCCAGGAAGATGCAACAGTCCTAACCTGGTGTACACTAAATAACTTAGTCTAATAATACATAAAGCCGATATTTATAAACTCACAAGGACTATCTACGATCATATTACAATATTTTAAAATAACTCAGTAACTGCTCAACTAGGTGTATAATAAAACCAATGAAACTGCAGATAATTTGAACAGCATACTTACTAAACTTGTTCAAACTGACATGCATAATATTAAATTGAAGAATTAGAGAATGTACTATTTTCAAGCCTATGCAGAAAATTTATTAAAATAGCTCATGTTTCATATAGGGTATAAAATAAACCTCATTAAATTTCTGAGCATTAATAGCCCCCAGTCTATAATGTAATACAGTGTGTTTTTAGTAGTATTTATCATTAAAAGTTTGTAGGTTGCTATTTTTTTTTTTTTTTTTTTTTTTTTGAGACGGAGTCTCGCTCTGTCTCCCGGGCTGGAGTTGCAGTGGCCGGATCTCAGCTCACTGCAAGCTCCGCCTCCCGGGTTCACGCCATTCTCCTGCCTCAGCCTCCCGAGTAGCTGGGACTACAGGCGCCGCCACCTCGCCCGGCTAGTTTTTTGTATTTTTTAGTAGAGACGGGGTTTCACCATGTTCACCAGGATGGTCTCGATCTCCTGACCTCGTGATCCACCCGTCTCGGCCTCCCAAAGTGCTGGGATTACAGGCTTGAGCCACCGCGCCCGGCCAGTAGGTTGCTATTAATGTCATATTTAGGAGAGTGTCTACAGTCTTAAATACCCACATTGGGGTAAAAGATTTAACATTCAAAGCTAAGTATCTTAAACAGTAAAAAGAGACTCATGTAATAAAGCCAAAATAAGCAGAAGGAAGAAAATGTTAAAGAGAAATGCAGAAACTAATGTAACAGGAAGCAAACAAGAAATACAGATGATAAATACAGCCAAAAGTTAGGTCTCTGAACAACTGAAAATATAAACAGTACTGGTAAAGACACAAGTGAAAGAGAATAGCTATTTAAAAAAGGGCCAAAACTCAGATTATGTAGAGTT